CCCGCACTCCTTCCAACATTAATCCAAATGTCATTGAGTTTTATACATTGCACCTGATAGTCCTTCTTAGACGAGGGCTCGTAAATCGTTCTGTCTGCCAAGTGCGGACTTGCAATCCCTCTGTCCAGCGCCTGCGGCATCACAACGAACTCGCCACCCTTGTCACTAATGGAGATCCGAATACTTTGCTTTGCTATAGCATCACGCAGCTCTTTGAAACCTTGCCATTGATGATGAGTCAAGTGAGTCTGCCGGTCGTGTTTGAACTTTCTTAACACATCGAAAATTGCTAAGGACAAAGCGCGGAATTTGGTGTCAGCAACTAGGGAAAGCTCTGGTTCTTTATAGAAAGTGCGAGGAAATGGCACTGTTGGTAATGCATTACTATTCTGCGGCAAGACCAGCTGGGGCTTGTTGTGCTATCTTTCTCGAACTCGTAGCGAGTCGCGTAAGCGGTGCAAACTTCCAACTATTTTGCGGTAGACTGAGGGATTCATAGTTTGCATTGGTAAAAAGTTAAACTTTCTCTATCACCGGACGACGTGACCCAACTTTTCCTCGAGGAGTATCGGCGTAATCCAAAGGGCTCTGACGAAGGCGATCTGCCGATACGTTAGCTGTGTATCAAATAAATCGATTACTAATCTCGTGTATGGCTTAAGAAGCAAGAACAAAATATTACTATCATGCCGAGATGTATTGAAAGTCGCACTATTCAATCACAATATTATTCATGCCATACAGTGACCGCCAAAAAGTTGCGGACAAACCCCTCTCCCTTTTTCGTCGCTCTTTTTTAGAGGGAAAACAAGGATGAAAAAATGTAATAATTGCATGATGTGATAGAGCTCTTCAAGATATACAATCTACACTTTGAGTTTTCTGAGAAACATGTGTTCTAAAAATTTTAAGAACCTTTTAAAAAAAGTCCGAAAATGGCCGCGTCACAATGTCGCGGACAATAATTCTTCGAACGCAAAAATTTTCTTTTGAGTCCTATTTTAAAGCGGAAACACAAGTTATCCGGACGGGCAAGCATACTACTATACAGAGCTCGTCAAGAACTACACACTGGTTACGGTTGCTTCCCCAGAAAACGCAAGCTTGAGTTTTATTTTAGTTTTTTCAAAAAACAACTTCTAATTTCCTGTATCAAGCCAAATTTCTTCACACGGAAACCTGTTCAAGACATCCCAACAAAGCCGTCTGGATAAAATAGATGCTCTTTGCCATCCTCTATGCATCGGACGTGTGCTGATGAGTTTCTTGGCTGAAAATGGCCCTTGGCAGTGCTTGCACATAACCCCACCTGCACCTCACTATTGACTGTACCGCTTTGCAGTTTGTAACTCGGCCTGCAGTCAATATCTGAGCCTGCAATTAGGCTCATTCGAAAGAGCGTGAGTTCCTGGACACGATGATATGCAAATGAGTTGAGTTTGAGAAATTTCAGAGATTTGGCGGATGGGGTGAAAAAGTGCAGCCTTAGAGGTGATTGGAGTGAAAGTTCTTATGTACACCAGAATGGTCTTGCAGCTTCGAAATGGATCTATTACAAGAAAATTGACAGTTTTGAACTTCCAGGATGAAATTGGTAGCGAAAGGAGCTCTCTTCATCTTTAGCGGAAAAGTGCTGAGACTACAACTGAAGCTGCCCTCTACCACCCTATCCGCCAAATCTCTGAGATTGCTCAAACTGAACTTATTTGCATACTATCGTGTAGAGGAAGTCTCGTTCTTTCGAACGAGCCTAATTGCAGGCTCAAATATTGACTGCAGGCCGAGTTACAAGCCTGCAAAGCGGTACAGTCAATGGTGAGGTGCAGGTGGGGTCATGTGCAAGCACTGCCAAGGGCCATTTTCAGCCAAGAAACTCATCAGCACACGTCCGATGCATAGAGGATGGCAAAGAGCATCTATTTTATCCAGAAGGCTTTGTTGGGATGTCTTGAACAGGTTTCCGTGTGAAGAAATTTGGCTTGATACAGGAAATTAGAAGTTGTTTTTTGAAAAAACTAAAATAAAACTCAAGCTTGCGTTTTCGGGGAAGCAACCGTAACCAGTGTGTAGTTCTTGACGAGCTCTGTATAGTAGTATGCTTGCCCGTCCGGATAACTTGTGTTTCCGCTTTAAAATAGGACTCAAAAGAAAATTTTTGCGTTCGAAGAATTATTGTCCGCGACATTGTGACGCGGCCATTTTCGGACTTTTTTTAGAAAAAGGTTCTTAAAATTTTTAGAACACATGTTTCTCAGAAAACTCAAATTGTAGATTGCAGATCTTGAAGAGCACTATCACCTCATGCAATTATTACATTTTTTCATCTTTGTTTTCTCTCTGAAAAAGAGCGATGAAAAAGAAGGGAGGCTTGTCCGCAACTTCTTGGCGGTCACTGTATATCGCCCTCAGCTAATCAAGTGCATGTTTTGGCATTATATCAGCAACTATGCGACGCTAACCTAAAAACTACGGGATGTCTAGCGGACAAGCAACTTGGAAGCCGATCAGAATACATTCGGAAAAAGCATGGCCTATTTTCTGACAAATTTTGCTGTCTTAGATTTTTTTCACTTGACGGCCGGATAGATTGTGTAAGCGTCATACTATCAGAATAAAGAGCGAAAAAAATGTGTGATAACCTCCAAGCCGAAATGGATGAGTGTTTCAACATCTTGAACCAACAGTCCCAGTACACCAGACTCACCCGAGAAACACCACGTAACGGATGGCTTCCTTACCTCAATCCCAGATTAATTTGTCTGACGGTGTTTTGCGTGTTAAGTGGTATCGTAAGGAAACCTCCAAGAACATTCTGATCCACGCCAACTCAGCTCACCCCGCAGCAACAAGAAGAGCAGTTACCACAACATGATCAAAACTGCTACAGCGGTGTGCACGAACAACGTCGAACGGTTCGAATCGCGAAAACTGGCAATGAAAATCGCGCGTAGTAACGGCTATGTACAACGGGAACAACATCGTAAATCTTACACGCATTTTGAAGAACATATCCGTGGGCGCTGCGAAAACAAAATACCTCTTTGCTTCCCGTTCATATCAGATAGAGTCAGTGCGGCGATTAGACAATGCATAAACCGAACTCAACTGCACAATGATATCATGCTTGTCGATATTGCGAATGTTAACTTGAAGAAGCAGTTAGTTCGCAATAGGATGTACGATAACGAATGCGTCTTAGAATAATGCATTGTATGTCCCTACGGAAGAACTGGAGATTGTGCAAAGGCAGGTATAATATACCAGCTGGAATGTTGGACTGTCAAGATTGCTATATAGGAGAGACGGGTAGAATGCTAGGTATAAGGCTGAAGGAACATCTGACCAGGAAAAGGCGAGGATTACTTACAACACCGTTGGGGCGACATAAAGCTGAGAAACATGGTGGAAATGATTATGAGATTAAATGCACTATTTTATCGTACGAGACTGAGATATGCGCTAGAAAAGTACTTGAAGCAGCGTGGATATGTGCAAGGAAACCGAAAATGAATCTCAAGAATGAATGTCTGTCAATCAGCAGTGATCTCGTATCGTATCTATCGTTATGTGATCTCACAGCCGCACATAAAAGCCTTGACAAGCTGGGTGACACTCAGTGACGTCCGTTACTGACTATCTGTGCGGGCTTACTGAAATGCGGTGGATCCAAGGTCAGCTCGTTTTCAAACCTCGATGATCTCACGCTGCTAGCCTATGAGCAGGTCTAGACTGGCACGGTGAGAGAGGAGGCTCTTGGCGGTATACGTTCAGATTTGAAAAAACCTATGATCTTCGTTCAGACCTCTGAAGAAGACGAGACTGTCGAAACCGTCAGGTCCAATTAGGATCCACCAAAAACCTGGTTTGGCATAACACGGCATATACTGACACTTCACAATGCCCAGGTTTGAAGATAAGAGAGCATAAAAATTTTACAATTGACGTGAGCGCCGAAAAGGAGTTGGTGGATGGGCCCTGCTAGCTCTTGCTTTACCCTAGCACCTCCAACTTTGAACTCATCGATTACTTCTATTCGCAGAAAGTTAATGCTTGTAAAACATTTTTACAAAAAATTAATGTTGGACAAAAGATTTTACTAGCTAGGCGTTTTTCTCATGAATTTGAGCTTGTGCATATACTAGCCTGTTGTTACGTTATTTGTAAGCGGTGAAGAGACCTGACTTGGAATGCGCGTTGTGGAGATTTTCCTGCAAGAACATATTTCTAGGGTGAGAACGTATTTCGGCCACTTACATCTTTTAGGTCTGAAAATATCCTTACACCAAGAAAATTATTGGAATTCGATACATGTTAGAAAAAGCAAGAAAAGCATTTTCTAATGATACTAACAATAACGCATTATTGATGAGACTCTCTTAGAACAGCTGCTTCAAAAAGCAAAAAAATCGGACAGAACTTAGGCAATAACCTAATACATTGAATTATGTGTACACTGCATCTGATAATACAGAAATTTCATTCTTCGCAGATGAGAAGGCTCAAATGACAACAGTCAATAATAATAAAGGCAAATATAATAAAGTAAATCTCGAGGTTGTTGTGTAAGATGTTGTGCACGTTATCTTGTTCATTGACGATCTCTTGTTCTTCCTTGTTTTCTTTTCCTTCTAGACCGCTTCATTTTCTTCTCTGCTACCATGCTACTTGCTTTCTTCTATAGACTCCTTCAGTTTTGGTTGATTCACATTGACAGCGCAGCCAAACCAAATGATGGAAAATCTTTAATGTTGTTTCAAGATTTTTCTGGAAACCGGATAAATTATCAAGCGCAAAATCAGTTCATCTTGCATTTCTCGCCGTTCTATGACTAGAACAATCATACTCAAAATATCCGCAGTTTTTCCTTGATCGTCATTTGCTTCAGAAATAGTTGGAATAGACCTGCCAATTTCTTGAGTCGATCTTATATCAAGGGCGCACACTTTCCACAAAAGCGGAGGTAGTGCTTCTGCGAAGTTCTTTGGCTTTCCATAGTACATGTGCTTCAGGCTGTTACTCAGATAATCGCCGGGGGCAGGTGGCCATGCGATTTATGGGCGGGCGGGCACCGGAAAAACAGTTCGCTGATTTCTTGTGGTCTGCTTGCAGATATTTGGAGGAATTTTAGCGAAATTTTGATCGAATGTTTGGAGAACTAGCGCGATTTCCTTATAGATTGGCTGCGGCGCAGTGGTTGCCTTCTCGCGGACTTTCCGCGAGATTATGCAAAATTTTCGAAGGCCGCACGGTCCTTTGTGGAGGACCGCGCAGCCCTCAGGTACTTTCCGCTGAGAGAAAGTACCTCAAACTTGAGTAATTAAACCAACTGTGACACCTCTGCCATACAGAGTCTTACCTGTGCTCGACGTAAGCGCGAAACTGCATAAAAAGAGTCCGAGCGCCTGCTGAAAGTTCAACCAGCGTTTGCTGAAAGAGATTATTTGACGAGCGCCTGCAGAAAATCCTGTGTTGCTGCCCGCTGGCACATCATTAGACAGTAAAGGAAGTACCGCTCGCTGAAGGTTTGGCCACGCCCCAAAATTCTGCCGGCCGTTTGCAGAAAAGCGCGAGTTTGCGGACCGCCTGCCCCCGGCGATTATCTGAGTAGGTGTCCCAAAAGAACTTCTAGTGAAATATTTTCTTTGATGGCATTCTTCTTTTTCTTTTGCAGTATCGAAAGAGGAGGTCGATTGTTAAAAGATATTACATAGCGTTTTTAACTTTTGCAAAATAATCGTATTTAGACTCGACTCGCGCGAGGTCACTCGACTCGCGCGACCATCGCCTGAGCCGAGTTCAAATCACGATAATGTTACCACCTGTTATAGGACATTTGAAAGCCGTGGCGATGGCGCAACCGCGCGCGACACGCACGCCTTTTCCGAAATCGCATTTTCTTGGTTTTCGTCTCTAGTCGAATGGCTTTTTTGCTTACGTATGATAATATTTAGACATTGGAAGTGACTGAGCTGAATATTGAGGTGATGTCTTCTTGTATGAGCGTTTATGCTCCTGTGGGCGCAAAGTCCGCAGCAAAATCCATCGTCATGATTTTTTGAATGAACTGTATCTCTAACGGAGCGCAAAAGAGGAAAATGATATCAGGTGGGCTCCAAGCGAGACTTCTATGTATATTTTGACATTGTTATTGGGACTAAAAATGAAGTCAAAGTTAACATGTAAAACGGTCAACGATGTTTGCGATAGTCCGCTCAATACTACGAATGCCACCCGTGTGACTAAGGGCCACGGTCGATAATGCGGCAGACGGCTGGGTCAAACGGATACGGTATTCTTGCCCACGCTCGCATGTTACATCGTCGATGTTAACGTAGTTTCGTAAGAGCAACCGTCTGCTTATTCTGCGTTAGTCATCTGCATTCAACAAGCCAGCTTCTTCTACTTTCTCCCCTAATTGAACATGCCTGTCGTATTAAATGTTGGCGGAACGAAGTTCTATACCTCACTCGAAACACTGATGAAAAACCCGGGTCTTCGAGAGAAAAGCATGCTCGCGGAGATGAATTTTGTGGTGGGTGATTATTCTGTACCTCTGTCCCATAGTTGTATATCCAAGTGAATTTGAAATTTGCAGGAAGGCGAAGAAGTTTTCATCGATAGGGACCCTACTCATTTTAGCTATATTCTAAATTATCATCGAGATGGTGCCGTGAATGTAAACGGAGGTGGCAGTATCCGTGCTCAGATAAAGCGCGAAGCTCAGGTTGGTGTCGGAATTTCAACGATGTCTTAAAATTCTTTTGGGTAAGCTTTGGGCAATGGTTCCGATTAAGTAATACTTAATCTCTGCTTCAATTCAATGTTTTTCTTTCAGTTTTATGGACTCGAAAACCTTGTGCAGCACATCGAGTTCAATCTCAGCCGAGGATTATGGAGACTCTCCCGCCCGAAATTCTCGAAAATCTTACGCTTGATCCATACTTCGCGATACCCATTCCTAGAAATCTTCATTGATCATAATGTTTGATTGCTGTGTCTGTTGTTGTTGTTCTCTTCTTTATTTAGCAATATATGCGACTGTGGACAGTATCTTTTTGTTTATAGTGAGTCACGCGAGAAAGTGTGCAGTTGTGGCATAAATTTCGTAGAAATTCTGGGGTGGGCTAAATAGCGAGCGGATAAGTAGACAACAGCAAAGGAGCGAAAAACTTCGCAAGGTGACGTGAGAAATTCAAGACGAGTGCATGTGCTCTAGCCCAACGGTTTACTAGGAATTCGGTGAGTGTGGTTATTAAGTTGGAATATAAGTCTTGCGTACCGAAACACTCTAGAATTCCGTAATCTCCTCGAAATTCAATGAATCCGTTTGAAATATTATATTAGGTTGTCCAGAAAGTTTTGTCCGTTTTCTCAAACCATTATAAAACCACGCACAGTAAAGGACCGAATGAGTTTCAAAATGATTCGATGCAGCTTTTCCTTCTCTTTCTTATGAATATACTAGCTGGCTTACCCCGCTCCGCCATATGTTCCGAATAGAAAATTCCATTTCTTAACCGATCCGGACCAAACTTGGCACACATACACTTCGGGACCCGGCGGGTGTCACAGTCCACTTTTCGTTATCGATCGATGTCGATTTTATCGATTTTTTGCAATATTTGAGCTAGGGGGCTGGAATTTGGCAGAGGGGTGTAATCGAGCATGCTGATCACCGCCCCGTGGGAGTGAACAGCATGCTCGATTACCCCCCTGTGCCAACTCCCAGCCCCGTAGCTCAAATTTTGCAAAAAATCGATAAAATCGATATCGATCGATGACAAAAAGTAGCCTATGACAACCGCGGGGCCCGAAGTGTATGTGTGCTAAGTTTGGTCCCGATCGGTTCAGAAATGGAATTTTCTATTCGGAACATACGTACACACATATAGACAGACATACAGACATACAGACAAACAGACATTCAGCTTTATATATAAGATTTTCGGAATAAAATCTTGTATGCTTTTTTTGATAATTGCCAAAATTCTACACCTGTCAATTTCATCTGCTCAAAGTTAGGCTAATTTTTAAAAATTTCATTCCTAAGTTTCAGAAAGGGTTAACGATGGATTAAATAGAGCAATTCTCGGACTACAAGATAATATTCAAATTCTCCTAATCTGCTCTTTTAGCTTCAAAAATTATTTTTTGGGAGGTCTGGATTTTTGACAAAGCCATGAAACATGCAACTGCAGCAAAACATGAAAGCTTTTCAAGTTTCTGCGAATTGAAACAGGATTTTTATTAGACATTATTAATGCAACATAACCAAGTTTGATTTGCCTTAAAAAAAGATCTTTTTGGAATTTTGAGTACCTTTACGTGGTGAACTTAATCAAAAAGTCGCGGTTTTTATTAAATACGTAATTATAACGGACTGGGTAAACATGGCTCATGTAATCTAAAATGGTTGCAATGTAATCAAAGGTTTGCTCTACATAACGGTTATTAGCGCTCTTTGAAAACATCAAGATAAAATTTTTTAAAATTCTAGAAACCTTTGGCGTCATTGCTGAACTGCTTAGTAAGCCATGGCGATAACATTAGAAAGGCAGGGTAGATCAAAGTGCAGATGCTGACTGTAGCTGTAAAAGAGGATAAAAATCTGAATCAAATAGTACCTAATTCATTCATTGATTGGTGTTTTGAGAGTTTTGGTGAGCGATGAAAGAAAAGGACAGAACTTTCGGGACAACCTAATAACATAGAAAGAGAAAACCTTACTCTCTTCAAATGCTATTAAGACAAGGATCAAAATTGTCATACCGCGGGTACCTGTTGAAGGCAAACACTCATACTGCGTTCTTCTGACTTCTAAACGCCAAAAATGCTCTAGAATTTTCGATTCTACTATCGGTTTGGGCTTTATAGCTTACGCTTTTTTACTAAAATAAATTTATGCTGGTAGGAGTCTCTACCAGAAGTTGCAATTTGGAAATTTTTGTTTTCGCTTTGATATTGGGAGTAAAATCTCTAATGTCTACGATAACATCTGCATAAATCACATAAAGAAAAAATCTATAGAAAACGAACTGCTGCTGCGAGCTTTTCAGAGGTTTTTTTTTCTGAATTTTTGGTGTAAGACTTATATTCCAAGCTTATAAAAGTTGGACCAACTTACAGAGCAGTATAAAACGAATCTGGGAGATTTCCATTCAATTTGGAGAGTTGCTATTTGTAATTTTTACTTAGTTCCTACTGACCTTTCTGCTCAACAGGTTACTGCTCTGTACAGTAGCGCAGTGTAGTAACCGTAAGAGGCCACTCCATGTGATTGTTTTACAACCACATTTGGGTGAACAGATTCTTAAAATATTAGGTTGTCCCATAAGTAAACTCCATTTTAAAATAAACTTAGTTGTTTTTGTTTTTCGAACAGAATTAGACAACCATACAATAGAACGGAGCAAGCTCTACAAAAATGCCACCAAGGATCCACAGTCGTAATCCAGGCAAAATTTGATGCCAAAAATCAAAAATTTCAAGCTACCCCAAAAATCGGATCTCTTTCCAGAAAATTCCTACGGACTTCCGATTTGGTCTTTATAGACTATACTTAATCATACTTGTCTTCACAAACTCGCATCACTGTACTTTATTCAGCTCTAAAGATTTGCCTTGATGAGTGTACACAGACATAATAAAGTTCTTTAGCAGGAAGGGGCCTTACTGGTGGCGATGGTTTTGGTGGCAATGGTGCTGGTGGCGATGGTTTTGGTGGCGATGGTTTTGGTGGCGATGGCTTTCTTCGTTGATTCTTTCCTCTCCTTTTATTATTGGATTTCTTCTTTGAAGGCTTTTTCTTCTTTGGTGAATTCTTTTTCTTCGGCTGATTTTTCTTTGTTCTTTGTATGTTCTTTACTGTTGGCATTCTCATTTTACGTTTTGAATGCTTTTTCTTTTTGTTCTTTTTCTTCCTCTTTTTTACCGATTTCTTCGGCTTTGATGGTGCTGGTCTGGGGATAGGAGCTGGTCTGGGGATAGGAGCTGGTCTGGGGCCAGGACTTTCCAGCTGTTTTTGCTCGCTGCCCAAAGCGCAGCCCACAAACTCTTCATCAACAAATTTCCACAATTCTGCTTCGAGATTTTCCCTAAAATTTTGAGAAAGTTAGTTGATAAACATCATACGGTTTACGGTTTCTAACTCACTTTTCTATTATCTCAACGTCATAATGTATTATCTCAATGTCATTTTTGAGACCCAGAAATACTTTTGCCAAGCTCGCATCCACAACATTTGGAATGCGTCCTTTTACTTCAGCGGTGAGATTGTTACGGATGTCACATGCCAACTTTTCGTAATCGCAGAAGTAACGAGCCTGTAAAATATTACCAAGGCATTGAACTGACATTCATACGTTAATTTCCTTTGGATTTGATAATATAAGTAACCTCAGAAAAGATGTTTTGGGCAGGAGCCAATAAAATCACATGTTGCATCAGTCCACGATAAACGAAAACTTGCAACATACCTCGCCGATCAAGTCTATTATGCGTTCTCTTTCCCTGTCATTGAGAGTGCTGTCGGGCGAATATGCCTTCCAAGAGGATTTGCATCCTTTCAATACAGGATCAAAAGCGCTAGTTGTGACCTACGATATTGTAGAAAAGGAACATTTGCGACAAAATTGTAAAACCCACTGATAACAGAAAGAGAAAGCGCTTCATCTCAGTATGTAGCTAATGGCATGATTTTACTTATATATTGCTTATGAAGATTTGTTCCACCAGCAGTATGCACTTGTTTTACTTGTAAGCTTCGTATCTCATAGCATGTGGCCAACTGTTATATAAATGTACTTGTGCTGTTTGTACAGCTCCACATCAATGCTATCACTCGAAATAATATTTTACTCTGTAGTACCCAATGTAATAGGAAGTCACCATAAAAGTTAGAGTTTGTTAATGCTATCGCTGTGAGAAAGGGCTATAAGGGTCTCTTCGTACCACGCCGACAGCCTTGTGTAGGAGCCGATAGCCTTTTGTCTAACGGCGGCACAAAAATATCACATTCTCATTACGTCCGAAGTATCAGAGCACGTTTGTGACCTACGCAGGCATAGCATGAGGCCTTACCAAACATAATTGTATATATATTTGTGAATTAGCACGTCCAATAACCCCTGTGTAAGGTTTTAGCGAAATTTGAGGTTTTAAATACTGGGCTACCAAGTGAAATAGTTAATCTCATAGATGATTAATTTTGTTTCAAAAAAGACAGCAAACTCTTTTTGCGCTCGTTACAAAGCGCTACTCCTTTTTTGTCCATTTGGAGAATCTCCTTTAGATATCCGCCAAACTATGGGATTAGGAGATTAAGAGCCAGCCAAAATCTGTCCCATTTTTCGCTTTTGCTAGTTGTACTTTCAGCAACTGCTACACAGACGAAGAGGACAAATCAGGTTCAAATTACACCTGTGAAAACCACGAGGATTAGGCTATCGAATATGTATATACTACTCGTTGAGAGTTTTAAATGCAAACGGGAGGCACAACCTCAAAAAGGGTGCGGCTGCCACACCTCATTGAGATTGCGCCACACCCCGATAACTTATCTCCAAAGCAAACAAATATATAGTTCTCTACAATTCAGATCGTTAAAATCGCCAAATCTTCTTCTCATAGTACGGTTTCACCTCAATTTGTTCCTCCTGATAAAGAAGCAGTATTTCAAATTTTTTTGTCCATGGCAAAAATTAGGTTACGGTAGTATGCAAATCTGCGCTACTATACTGCGTATTGCGAAGGTGGTAAAAGTATAAGGTCGATAGCGCATATCTTGTGCTTTTCACAGAAATGATTTGAATCTGATTCGTCTTAGTTTAAAGGCAGTGGCTCGGCAAATCCTCGACCTGAAGTTTTTTCGCTTATCTGGGGTGATTCGACGCGCTGACTTTGAAAATACACACTGAAGGCACGAAAATGCCGAAAACCCGCATTTTCCAAGGGCTCATGAAAATCCCGCGAAAGTTCCGATTCTCAACGTTTTCATTTTTGCAGTAGTGAATAAAGTCCCGCGGAACTTCTGCAAATTTGGCTTGTCCTGCGGAAGTTCCGGTGATTTGTCTGAGTTAGAGATAACTTCGAGTTTGGTCAGAGAAAAAGAAATAGTGCACAAAAGAGGAGGGGTGCCCAAAAGTCCTCCGGAGTACATTTTGCTAGTACTTTCAGCAGGCATGATGGGGGTATCGTCGGCGCAGTAATGTGCAGAAAAATCTTGCAATATCTTGGCTCAGGGAGTTATTCGGTGCGCTGCTCACGAATATGTTATTCCTTTCCATCATGGGGTCATATAGCCAGCTTACGGTAGGTTCACGGTAGGCAGGAGAAAATCACAAAATAGGTCAAAACCAAGGCCGGTCGGATTATTCGGGGAGCATCACTAATTTGGCATGCAATATACTGCGGTAACATTTGCCAAGGTTAATAGCTTTGCGGTAGACGGGAGAAACCCACGAAACTGATTGAAACTTGGTACACTGTAGTTCTTCGGGGTCACGAATATGGTACGCATTTCTGGCTGCGGTTCCATATAGCGGAGCTACGGTAGCCATACGATAGAATTGAGAAAACCACAAAACTGATCGAAACTTCGATTGTTGGAGTTATTCGGGGCGCTGATCACGGACAACGTATATGCTCCGTACACTGGTGTTATTTCAAGCGATTATGGTATGCATTTTATAAGTGGGCGAAGTCATAGAATAAGAGCAAGTTTTGCGCAGGGGTTTCATCTGGGAGCCTCCCTCAATAGTTCATTTCTACCACTAGGTATGCCATCCGCTCTCTCTATCATAGGTGCGATAGGGGGAGCCGGGCTCTCCCCAGGTGAAGGGGGTCTCGGCTGTTCCCGACCTTCCAGGGTGAAGGGGGTATGTGAGTCTAGGGGGGGGGGGGAGGAAGAGAGAAAAGGTAAAAAAGCGTGGTATGGAGAGCTCTAATTTGTACCTTATTTAGGCACAAATTGAAAAAAAAATTAAAATTTTTTAAAAGAAATTAAAAAATTTTTAAAAAATTGATTATGAAGATCTGTGCCCCTGTTTCACTGCATCAACAAAAAACGAAAGCAATAGGGTTTATCCCAAAAGATGTACAAGTTAGGAACAACTTCATTTCCTGCACATCATCATCAACAATATCACTATCGCTAATGTCAGAGACAACAAGTTCGCTGCCTGAAAAATCTTCTTCTTCCTCCAAAAGGTCATCGGAGTAGAAATAGAATTGCGTGCAAAAGCGTTCTGAGTCGAAAATGGATTTGAAACTTTCTTCTTCTTCTAAGCGCTTTCGTGATTTTTTCCTGGCCCTCTGGTAGCACCAGGAAGTCAGCAGGTAGGTGACCAATTTCTTCATAACATCTTTTAGGATATTTCAAAAAGTCATACGGTAACAGCCTGCCTGGACCCTTATACCAATCCTTTAAATGAAGTTCTTAGATAACAATGTGTTTAGTAGAAGGTTGACAAATCTTAAGTATTTGCTTAGATGCTCTATCGTTGTACGACTTCTGCGTTTGTTCTGATAACAGAGTAAATAGAAAATTTCTTTCTCCACCTCTGCCGTGCCCTTCCGGAACGGAAACTAGCCTTGCTAGTAAGTCCATCAGATTTTTGCGGTAAGTAATGGGAAGAGAGCCAGATCGCATATGCTTTCGCAACATGGGAAGGAGATAGTGCATACTTTTTTGGGCCTTGTCAAACTCTGGCTTCACCTCCTCTGGCATACGTCCTGTTAGCTGATTAGAAAGCTGCTCAACTTCTTCTTTAACAGCATCTGCGGAATAGCCGAAAAAAGGAGGTACTATGCTGCGCGTTGTTTTTTTCTCAATATCATAGGTCATAATGTCACAAGGCGAATAACTTCCAAAAGCATAAAGCACAGAGTTGGGTTCGCACTTCAGCCGGGATCTAAGTGCAGTAACTATGCTTTGTACTAACACCTTCCTTTTGTTCATATTCATGTTTGTGAATTTAGCAGCCTTGAATTCTTCAGCAACCTGAAGATCAGCAATGGACTTCCTTGACATTTCCTCATTGAAACTAGACAATCTGCTTGGATTCCTTATGCAGGAAATCAGAGAGTTTCGCTCAATTGTCAACTCTGTATCAATGTCGACAACGTTTTCGTCGGCTTAAGGTTCTCCTTCTGCCTCGCTGTTGAACTGGAACACATGCGAGTCATCTGCGATTTTGTAAAGTATTCTGCCTGCCTTTTCCTCTTCAAACTGCCAACCTTTACAAAACATTGAGGGATATTTTAATAACATGTTATTCTTCTGAATGTCTTAGAGTTTTTGATTCATTGAAACCAACCATTCTCTACAAATTAGGTAAGGTGAGTCTAGAGCGTTTTCACGAAAGTGACCTTCTTCAGCACTAGGTTTACAGGATAGAGATTCCAGAAATGGGCGGGTTTTTGTGTGAAGGTGTGGAAATTCACCAATCTCCCATAGTTTTTTGAGTGTGTGCTAATAATGATGGCATAACTGTCAATCAAAAGTGCATTTTTTACCAAAAAAACACAAACATATAACAACGATAAGCACGCTCAAGTAGACGCGTTCGCTCACGTTCCCGTTAGTGCTGATAACGATGTCAATCCACAGCAAATTTTTTACTATTAACGTGCTCCACCTCGCTCTTATTAGGTCGTCCAGAAAGTTTTTGCGCATGAAGTTCAAAATTCATAACTTCTGATTTTTCCACCCGATTTGACTGCTTTCACTTTTATGTGAAAGGGTAAGTCATGCTCTTTATAATGACATCTCAGCTGCTTAGTAATGGTCATCTGTTAGATAGATAGGAGCGATAGAAGAAAAATGGTAAAAATTTTAATTTTCTGTGTAGGGTCATAAGCAATCGGAAACTTGCAACAAAAATCGGAGCAGTCAGTACTCTAGGTTCTTTCACCAGCACTTTCTAACAGTGCAAAGTTTGCGCCGATTGAGCGTCTCCATGAAAAGTTATGATTTCCCTGAAAAATGCCAAAATAAATCAAATTCGCCTTTTTGTATTGCTTGCTCGGAAATCATAACTTTTCATGGAAACGCTCAATCGGAGCAAACTTTGCACTTAGAAAGAGCTGGTGAAGAACCTACAATACCGACTGCTCCGATTTTTGTTGCAAGTTTCTGATTTTTTATGACCCTACACAAAAATTCAAATTTTGAGTGATTTTGGTATTGAGCTTCTATCTATGCAACAGATGACCATTACTAAGCAGCTGAGATGTCATTATAAAGATCATGACTTTCCCTTTCACACAAAAGTGAAAGCAGTCAAATCGGTCGGAAAAATCAGAAGTTATGAATTTTTGAAAATTGTGCGCAAAAACTTTCGGGACGACCTATACAATGTGTTGGCTTTTATGGGTCACCGAAGCAAATGATTTTTAGAGCCGTGAAGCAAAGAAGCCCTAACAAGCTGTAAACCATTCGAAAGCTGAGATCATGGAGAATCGACTTAGACCGTCGCCTTTTTTCCAGGTCTTCTGTGCCGCGAGATATGAGGGATTTTATGTGCTTCAAAAATTAACTGATTTTGTGTCCTCACTTTCTGCTCTCCAAATGAATGCTACGAAAAGGTCGACGGCCTACGTTTGTTAATGAAGACTTGCACTATCACATAGATAGATAACCAGCAGCGATTAGGTCTTCATTTGGCAGAAAT